AATGATTGATATTGATATTTTGTTGAGGCTGCTCTGATATATAAAAGGCAAAATAATTTTTTCCACGTTGTTCGAGTTTTATTTCACGGATATTTTCCGGCAACGCGACTGACTATATAATAAATATTAAAAAAATATTGATTAGGGTGATTATTACTATTATCGGAAACCAATCAAAAATTTTCAATTTACCAGTTTTCCTTGATACACGAGAGCGCGATCATACTTATCAAAATACAGTTTGGGTATTTCGCTAAGTATCACACCATTTCTGTGTTCTTTGACTATTTCGATTACTCTTTCTTGAATATGAGCAAGGTCGATTGGATCCGTCATGCCGCAATCTTTGGCTTTTGCGATCGAAAAGAATGATGGGTGATTATTTTTGATGTCGTTTCGCCTATTATCATCTTTGCTTGACATTGTGTCTTAAATTTTAATGATGATGGAATGCTATTTAAAGAAATTACGATTAGTAACGTCGTCAAGCTCTTTCATAGATAATTTTTGACGATTAGTAATTAATATATTATTACCGGTGAAACTTTTCGATACGGGAGAAAGATGAGAAATAATAAATGTTGATCATCTATAAGAAAATAACAGCTATTTATCATATCAAATGATCGTGATCTGGTGGTTGTAGTTAATCTAGGACTACGAACTAACTAAATATTGTCTTTGTTTTTTTAAATGCAAAAGCCAAACACAAACTGCACTTAATATTATTATTCTTCGGGAAGAAAAGATAAATTGGTTTTTCATCAGCATCCCTAGACAAAGTTACTTTGATAAATTGCAAGCTTTCTCTGCTGCTGATCACTGTTGCAGCATTAAATGAATTACACAGCATGCCGTTCGATGATTTATGCCATTGTGCAAATTTGGTCTTTCAATGAATGCTTGTTGAGCTAATATAACGATAAACGTCATTTAAATCTAATGTATGTATTTTATAAATAGCTGTTTCTATTGTTTCTATTTCCTATTATCATTGTGTTTCACCTTGATATCTAACACGATTTTGGTGGTTACATAACGTTTATTTTGTGGTTAAAATTGTTTATTTATTATCTTATTCAATATGAACTTTTCTTTTTTTTTAAGCTTTCAAATATCAAAGGTCAAACAAATTTGTTATTTTCTTCATGAGGATTTCTGATCCCTCTGTTGGAATTCGTATTATTTGCAACTATAAGTGGGTTTCAACACCCTATATTACTAATTTCACTTTATTGCAATAAATTACATGTTTAAGTTTTTCAAATTTAAAATGTCTCAGTATCCAGTTGTCCAAATTCGTCATCCCCATTAGAGGAATCAAATTTAGTTGATTGATTTGAATCACCGGATGCTGATATTTATTAATTACGGCACTAATTACGACTTGCGGCATTTAACTACGGCTTGCACATAATTACATGGTTGCAACCCCTTAAAAGTAAATCTATTCATCTAACTTATTATGTCGTTTTAATTCCAATATCAAGCCTTTGCCGCTGTAATTCAGTGATCTCATTGCGTGCATCCAAAAGTTGGATCCTTTAGTCCTGCGATTTTCTCGTATTTTAGTTGATTTTGGGATTATTGGAAACGTCCGCATGGACAAGTTTCGTCCGATATTTTTTTTTGTTTAGCGAAATAACGATAGAAACGAATGAAATAAAAATAAAAAAACCTGACTTTTTAGGTATGTTTTTTATTGTATTAATAAACTCCTTAAACTTTTAAAAAACATAATGTTTTATCATTGTAAGACATTATCAATTCCATCATTATTCCAGTTTTATCATTTCAATTCAATTAACGAAAACATAAAACGTAGTTATCGCATAAATCCGATTGATTATAAACAGAATCATTAACGTTAAATAAATATTACATACTATATTCAGAAATATGATACATGCCGGTTTCGGTATAACATGAGATCCGTAGATCTTTTTTTTTCAGTCCGGAGATTTAGGCCAAAAAGTTCAGTCAACATCATGGATAGCAACGTGTTCATATGATAGGTTTCACATTTTGTTTCGCATGTAATACATACAGTGCCTAGACTTAACGTATCGTTTAATAAGTTGGGATCTAATTGCCTCTCATTTTGTCTAAGCATGCTTCAATTAAGTGGTATACAGTCACACCTCTGTAAGAACGGGTAGGGAAACAAAAAGAAATCCCGACCTTATGTTTTATATAAAAAATTTTTTCATGAAATGTTTGTGTTTGGCGCTGTGTGTTTGTTCGTCTTCGCAATGGCTCATTTTATAATCTCTTTTTAAGCACAAACAATTAATGGTAATACATGTACGTGTACGTGTGCATGTGCATAATTTATGCTTACACGATAGCGATAGGTAATCAGTACAGTTAAATATACATGATAAAGTAACCCCATATAAAAATGTCGGAATAAATTCGCAGTATTTGTTTGGGGCTGCGCGATTCATATTATTGGTGGCAAATTTTCTTCCATTGTACTTGCATACATCGGGTTATCCGTACCCTGAATAATTGGCATAATATTAAACCGAAATTTGATGGATAAGGATTTGCCAAGATTCGTCTGGAAAACGACTAAATAAAGGGAAGGATGAACAATCCAGTGAGATTGTCAGTTTCCCTCCCTTTTTCAGCACTCGTTCGAAACTATAACGATAATCTCCCACATTCATTTTTTGGTTCACTTACTAAATTTCGATTAGAAAACGATGATAATAAATACGTAATCATGAAATTATTAGCAAATAACAATAAATATTAACAAATTAAACAAAAATAAAAGCAAATCATAACATAATAATAAATAACTAGGCAAAAACAAGTTCATTCAGAAAAATAGATGGAAAAATGAGTGGTTTTTTGTCCGACTGCACTGTCAAAAAAGCCAAGCTCATGGCAAAGATAAATAGGGATAAAATGTGTTAGAAATGTCAAAGAATACCATTTATCCCGTAGCTTGCTATTTTAAGAAAAATGGGATGCCGGTTGAATAATAAGCCGGTAATCTCTGTGCCATCATGCGCAGGTAAGTTAAATGTAGCGCAGTTCACCACTATATTACTCGGATCAATATATTCCGAAAATAGATCTATGAAGAAAAAAACAATAAAATGTTTAAATACGAAGATTCCATACTACTGATATTAATCGTGGGTATAAATACGGATCCATAAAGGCGTAAGTTTTTGATTGAAAACTAGAATATAAACTCCGTCTGCACACCATAAATTGGATCGAATGAAAATATTTAAATAAAAAACTGAGTATTGGTTTCAAACAAAGAGATTCACTAATTAACCAATACACAACAACTACATGTATT